CCCCAAAACCCCAAAACCCCAAAACCCCGAATGCCTATAATTTGGAAAATTAATGTACTTAATGATAAACTTATAATCAAAATTAGCTTTCAGATGGATCGTGCACTAATCTAGCTTTGTTCTACTATCGAGTTGCTCTATCTCTCCTTTTTTCCTCACTAAGTGAAATTTTAGCTTCCCAAATTTCTCTATTACCAGTCCTATAATCACTCCTTTGAATATTTTTCATTAAATTTCCTGAAATAGACTCTCTTGAATATTATTTGCTGTTCAAATTACTCTCATTTTTCATAAACCTACTTTTATCAACAAGTATACCATTCTTTTTACTTTCAAGAGAGATTAATTTATACAGATAAGCTTGAGCGTACCTTGATGGTAGGTTATAGAGCTTATCTTTTTTATTATTATCTTCTTCATCATCCGAATTCATCTGTAAATGGTTCTCCTCTCTTATCTATATATCTCTTTTAACTTCCTCTCTAATTCCAAGTACGTCAAAGTACTAAGGAAAAGCTATTGCTCTTTTGACGAATTCAACAATATCAATTTGACTGTCGCTTCTACAGAAGTTTTCAATCATGTATTCAGTAATACCTTCCATATTCTCATTCCACTGGCAGTAAACTTTGTAAAAATGAGACTTGTCGTCATCTGGATAATCACTTGCAAAAAATGGAAGAAGATTCAGAGATACTGCTGTGAATATTGTGAAAATTTATCTAATCTCTTGATTCTTTCTGAGATAGTGCTTCTTATAAATCATATCATTATTAGCATATTCAGCTGGCTTGTAAAATTTCTACAATTTGTTTCCTTAATATTCTGATTCGTCATTATTTTATCCAAAAGAAACCCTTTCTCCTTCATTGTTAGCGCCTTATCTGTAATTATGATAAAGAGCACCAATATATTTGGCTTTTACACTAGCTTTTGAACTTGTAAGTAAATACAATGCTATCATTAGAGCTGTTATATCATAATATGATTTGAGTACACCAGAATCTGTTGCATCAATTTTAAATCTACAATAGAAATTCTACCAAAGTAAAGTCTCATTCGGCTTGTCAGCTCGTAAAAGTTTTAGCTTGACTAATATGTCCAAATATTCTTTTTCGTTGATACTTCTAAAATACAGATTTGTGAGGAAGGCAGACTCCAAATCATGGCATGTGAATACAAATAATTTCAAATCTTATTATCTTTTAAGCATGTATGCCTCTTCTGGTGATAGTTCTGCGTATCTCACTGGGCCTTTGTGTTCCCTTCCCAGACATATGTCTTAAGTATTACCCATTTTAAATTAAATCAAAATTAATTTATAGTTTTAATTAGCATTTAATTAATCAGTCAGATGAATAACTAAAGTGTTAAAAAGCAGCTCATCCTCATTAAAAGAGATATTCTTAAGGCTCTTTAGAATTCAGCTCAGGCAAAAGCTAAAAGAGAAATAAATTAAAAAAATTTCAAAAGATTGAAGCAAACGATAATGTAAAACATTAAGGACATTCAAAATGAACTTAGAGGCTCGGCTTTTTCTCAGTTAAAAATTGAGCTAGAAGAAATTTATGCTCAATTGCAGTGGCTTGATTGTGAGAAGAATGAGACTTGGAAACAATTCATTAAGGCTCTTAACTTCAAAATCAAGAAACTCTATGATATTGATAATTGCAATAGTAGAAGATAAGACTCAATAAGCAGAGTTGCATATTTGAAGAGCTTTTTTGTTATAATGGCAATTGTATCTCTATGGTATATCTCCCATAGCAACTAGATAATTGAAAATTTAGCTAGGGAGTTTAATCTCAAGACTTGGATAATGCAACATTCTAGTACTCAAACCCTCAGAGCTACAGTGTATATATAGAACTTGCTAGAGTAATATGACAAAGTATCTATAATCTGTGTAATTGTTTGTTTGATTTGTTTATTTAATTTGATTTTAATTTGATAAAATAATAAAATATAGAAAATATGTTAGAGTAAGTCCTTTTCACACACATTTATTTGGATTCAACTACTATCTTCATCTTTCATAATTTTTGTCATTCTAATGATATCCTATAGCGCTGACTTGCTTAAGCAGGAAAATATTGACGGTAAAATAGTAATACAAAGGCTTCAGGAGAGAATTAGAGTTCTGTAAATTATCGTTACATTTAATTAAAAATAGGGAGAAGGACAACTCTCATGTGAGAGGAAAGTGGAAGGATTTAAAAGCTAAACATAAAAAACTTGAGGCTGACAATGTAATGATACCTTTTAAGAATTAAATTAAGCTTAAATGATTAGAAATTGGATAAAGATAATTATTCTGAAGATATCACCAAACTTCTTTAAGAAAAAACTGATTTGAGTTTAGAAGTCAAATAATTAAGGGAGCTAATCAGAGATATGGAGGACAAATATCGTAATTAAGAATAGTAATAACAATTACATAGGAAGGGACATGGAAGAGATTCAGCAAGATCACATGACTTAGATCACTCTATTAGAAAAAGAGAAAAAAGCACTTGAAGATGATTTGGATAATGTTCAAGCTTTTAAAAGTTAACAAAAGCAATTAGATGCAGAACTTTCTGAGCTTAAGGACCTTCTTGAAAAAGAGAAGAAAGATAGAATGAAGTAATAGATCATAGGATAATACTTTTTATAGTGAGGTAAATGAGAAAGAAAGAGAAAAAATTTAAGCAACAGAAAAATTGAGAAAGGACATGCTATATAAGATTAAGGAAACAAAGGCAAACTTATTGGCTTTGAATGATGAGCAGTTATAAACTACCACAAGATTAACAATCCTTCAAAATCATTAATTGACAACAGAACTTGAGTATCAATCAAAGCAGACTGAGTAATTATTGTATAAGAACAATAAGATGAAGCAATAAATAGAAACTCTCAAGAGAGATATTGAGATTCATAAAGAAGTTGAAAAGGAACTTGCTAAAAGATCTCACTTCTGCCAAAAGGTCATTAAAAGATTGAAATAGTAAGTAAAAGAGCTTGAACAAGAAAAAGAAGAGACATAAAATAGAAAAGCTGGCACAATGCCTAAGTAAAATATGAGAAATTCAATGGTTGGAAGTCCCAAAAAGAATAAGGACAGTTCAATTGAGGATTCAAAAGCCAACGAGGATCTTATAAATTTCCTAGAACACAAACTTGAGGAAATTGAAAAGAAGCTAGCCAACTCATAGAGCGATTATGAGGTATTGCAGAATGATTATATGGAACTTCAGGAGAAAATGAACTTATCAAGAGAAAAACATAAGAGAGCTGCCCTCCTGTTGACAGACTTCTTAGATGACTTGCTCAACGATAATCCTAATATTCTCCAATCAGACAAGGACATGCATTTGAATCTTGATAAAATGTAATCATCAATGCCATTAATAATTATTTAGTAAGGAGACTCCAATCGAATAACTAGATAAAGAAGATAAAATCGCTTTGGTTTTGGTGATATTGAAATAACTCTAACCATATCTAAGTGCCAATAATTTATCAGTCGCTCCACCAAAGACTAATATGAGACCATAGCCATCTCAATCTTATACTGGGAAGAGAACAGGTGGAAATCCTCATGATATGATGACTGCAAGTGGAGCTGGAGAGGTAGAGCACTTGAATAAGATGCTGAATAATATTAATGTGTAGACTAAGAAAAATGAGCATGGCGACAAATTACCTCGTAAGTACTATTAATCCTTTTTATGTTTTTAGCAATTAAGAGGATTTGACGTTTAAATTGAAATCTACTTATATTTAAATTCATCTAAAACTATGTTAAACTTTTATGATAGGGGTTTTGGGGTTTTGGGGTTTTGGGG